TCTCCATTAAATCTAAAGCCTCTTCCCTCCCACCTTGAGTATGTGTTTCTAGATGAAAGTTCTGACCTCCGTATTATTCTTGCATCCAGGCTTGAGCCATCCCAAAAATCTGCAAGTCTTGATCTACTTAGTGAACAAAGGGAAGCTCTAGCCCGGAAACTTTCTGACATGAAAGAATCAGTCCTACTTTATGCACTCATAAAATTTTGATGGAAGATAATGCTAAACCGGTAGTGCAGCCACAAAGAAGACTGAATCCTAATATGCAGGAGGTGGTTAGGGAGGAAGTCATTCGTCTGTTAGATGTAGGCATTATTTTTCCGATTTCAGACAACCCTTGAGTCAGCCCGACCCAGGTGGTTCCCAAGAAAGGGGGGATGACTTTAGTTAAAAATGAAAAAGATGAGTTGATTCCTATGCGTACGGTCACCGGATGGCGGGTCTGCATTATAACAACAACAACATCCAAGCCTTAGTTCCAAAAGATATTGGGGTCGGCTAACATGAATCGATACATGATATCACAACCAAAAGGAAAAGAAAGAATAAAGATAAAAAAGATAAGCTATTATAAAAAGATAATATAAAAAGAGATGAATATACATAAAAATGATAAAATAAAAAGGCTACAAATAATGCTTATATATATAAGGATAAAAAAAGGAAAAAAAGATGGGGGAAAATATTAAACGACATCACTCCTTCACGCGAATACCCGCCTTCCACTTAGTTCTCTCCAAAGTCATGCCCTCATCCAACCCCAGAAGAAGCATATCACTTCGAACTCCCCTAACCCACGTCTGTTTGGGTCTTCCTCTCCCTCTCTTCCCTGCCTCTTCTCCACACATGACCAAACCACCGTAGGCGCGACTCCCGCACCTTGTCTTCAATAGGTGCTACTCCCACCCTTTGTCTGATTGTCTCATTCCTCATGCGGTCCTTCCTAGTATGCCCACACATCCAACGCAGCATGCGCATCTCTGCCACACTCATCTTTTGAATGTGACATTGTTTCACCGTCCAACACTCTACGTCATACAGTATTGCAGGCCTAATTGTTGTCCTATAAAATTTACCCTTCAGTCTAGTCGGCATACCTCGGTCGCATAGAAATCCTGACACACTCTTCCACTTCATCCACCCTGTTCTGATTCTATGGGATACATCTCCATCTAACTCATTGTCCTTCCGAATTATGGAGCCCAAGTAACGGAACATATCACTGACTGGTATCTCCTTACCATCTAGAGTAATTCCTCTATTACCACTGCTTCTACCTCCACCAAACTTGCACTCCATGTACTCTGTCTTGCTCCGACTTAGTTTGAAACCCTTATTCTTCAACGTTTGTCACCATACTTCCAACTTTGCTTTAAGACCTGATTGCGTCTCATCAATCAATACAATATCGTCGACAAACATCATGCACCACGGTATATCCTCTTGAATTGACTTCATAAGTTCATCCATGACTATGTCAAATAAGAAAGGGCTCAAGGCCGATCCTTGGTGCACTCCGATAGTAATAGGGAACTCTTCAGTCCTCCCTACACTAGTACGGACACTTGTAGTACAATCCTCATACATATCCATGATGATGCTGATATACTTGCGTGATATGCCTTTCCTAGTTAAGGCCCACCAAAGAACTTCTCGAGTTACCCTATCATATGCCTTTTCTAAGTCAATGAACACCAAATGCAAATCCTTATGAGCGTCTCTATACTTCTCCATAAGTTGCCGAAGAAGGTGAATGGCCTCAGTTGTTGAGAAACCAGACATAAAACCGAATTGATTCTCTGAAATCTTCAAAGTACTTCGAAGTGTTTGCTCAATCACTCGCTCCCAAAGTTTCATGTTGTGACTCATAAGTTTAATCCCTCGATAGTTGACACATTCTTGTACATCACCTTTATTCTTAAATAAGGGGATAAGAGTACTCTTCCTCCAACTCGTTGGCATCTTGTTGTTTCTCCAAATCACGTTGAAGAAACTTGTTAACCACTCGACGCCTCTCTCTCCCAAACTTCTCCAAGCCTTGATCGGTATGCCATCTGGCCCCATTGCTCTTTTCCGTCCCATCTTCCTCAGAGCTTCTTTAACTTCCGTTGTTTTGATCTTTCTCACAAAATCACGATTTACCATACAATCTGGTATGGACAAATCACCGATATCTTGCGTTTTGTTCCCGTTGAATAGTGTATCAAAGTATGACCTCCACCTCTCTTTTATCTCTCCGTTGTCCATTAATATCCTCTGATCGACATCCTTCACACACTTAACTTTTGCAATATCTTGAGTCTTGCGATCACGAAGACGAGCAAGTATATAAATATATAGTTCTCCTTCCTTAGAGTCCAACTTTTCATACAACTCCTTGTTCACTTTCCCTCGTGCTTCCCTTACGGCTTTCTTTGCTTGTCTTTTAGCCTCATTGTATGCTTCTATGTTCTCATCACTCCAACTTGTCCCCAACTTTTTGTAGCAATCTCTTTTGTTCCTTATGGCTTGTTTCACCTCATCATTCCACTAAGATGTGTCCTTTTTAGGTGGCAGACCTCCTTTAGATTCTCCAAGTACTTCCTTTGCCACTTTGTTAATGGTCAACTCCATTGATAACCACACATCATCCACATGTGTTTCATTATCAATACGCCATACATCTTCACCGACCATTTTTGTGTGTAAAGCTTTGTTGAAGATCTCCCTCAAGCCTCCACCACTTTATCTTTGGCTCCACTTGTTGTTTAACTTGTCTTCTATGGTTCTTACCTTGAAAGTCAAGCACAAGCATCCTATGCTGAGTGACAACACTCTCACCTGGAATAACCTTACAATCACTGTAGCTAGTTCTCCAAGTGGTCTGTACTAAGAAGTAGTCAATTTGGGTACTATTAGCTCCACTTTTATAGGTTACAAGGTGAGAGTCTCTTTTTTTAAACCAAGTGTTCATTATAGCCAACTCGTACGTCAAGGCAAAATCCAAAATGTTCTTTCCCGCCTCATTCCTAGTGCCAAAACCATGTCCGCCATGAATACTCTCAAAGCCATCACGACTCGAGCTCATATGCCCGTTGAGGTCACCTCCTATGATCAACTTCTCTCCCCTTGGCACTCGTCGCACCACGTCTTCAAGATCTTTCCAGAACTGTTGAGTTGTAGATGCATCCAATCCCACTTGTGGTACATAGACACTTACCACAGACACAATCTCACCCCTTATCACCAATTTAATGCTCATGATGCGATCGTTCTTCCTGAAGACTTCTACCACATCCTCAACATAGTCACGTGCCACAATAATGCCTACCCCATTTATAGTCTTATCTCTCCCCGAATACCACAACTGATTAATCTCGCGTGCTTTCTTTCCAACCCATTTAGTTTCTTGCACACACATAATGCTGATATTCCTTCTCCTCATAACCTTGACTACCTAGGAAGATTTTCCAGTAAGAGACCCAACATTCCATGTCCCAAAATGCAATCTAGCACTCCACCTTCTGTTCTTAGCCCCATCTCAGACCCCACCATGCCCTTGCATATTTGACATCATCCCCGGGCAATGGGATGACGCGCCGCTTCCGGGCGGCGACCTAGCAACCTTAACATTCTTATCACCACACCCAGGTCTATGAAGTGTAGCACGCCCTTGCATATTTGACACCACCCCCAGGCGGAGGGATGACACGTCACTTACGGGTGATGACCTAGCATTAGCGATATTCATATTTCGATTCATGTCATGTGATGTGACTAGGTGATACCGGTGGCCATCACACGCCTACCACAGCACCCTCCTCCTTTATCCTAGCTTGGGACAGGCATGATACCAAAAAAATGATATCATGGCGGGTCTGCATTGATTACCGAAAATTAAATGCCGCCACCCGGAAGGACCACTTCCCCATCCCCTTTATTGATCAGATTTTAGAAAGGCTAGCAGAGCATAGGTTTTACTGTTTCCTTGACGGGATGTCGAGATACTTCCAGATCCCCATAGCCCCCGAGGACAAGGATAAAACCACTTTCGCATGTCCATTCGGTACCTTTGCTTATCAGAGGATGGTGTTTGGATTATGCAATGCCCCTGCTACCTTTATGAGATGCATGCTTGCTATTTTTGGGGATTTTATTGGGAAGTTTATGGAGGTTTTTATGGATGACTTTTCTGTGTATGTTGATACTTTTGATGAGTGCTTAGAGAATTTAAAGAAAGTCCTGGTTAGGTGTTGAGAGGTGAATTTGGTGCTTAGCTGGGAGAAGTGCCACTTCATGGTAAGTGAGGGAGTGGTCCTAGGGCATAAGATATCGAGTAGGGGGGTTGAGGTTGATCCGGCTAAGGTTGATGTGATTTCTAAATTGTCTCCCCCTACCTTGGTCCATGCCATTAGGAGTTTTCTAGGACACGCAGGTTTCTGCCGTAGGTTCATCCAAGACTTTTCTAAGATAGCCCGACCCATGACTAAGCTCCTTGAGAAGGACGCACCGTTTGAATTCTCAAAGGAGTGTTTAGATGCTTTTGAGTGTTTGAAGGAGAAACCGGTCAAGGTACCGGTGGTAGTAGCTCCTGACTGGTCTTTGCCGTTTGAGATTATGTGTGATGCTAGTGATTTTACAGTAGGAGCCGTTCTTGGACAGCGTCGAGAGAAACATTTTCAGCCTATTTCTTATGCTTCCAAGACTCTTGATAGTGCCCAGGAAAAATACACTACCACCGAGAAAGAATTGCTTGCTGTTGTGTTTGCTCTTGACAAGTTTTGTCCTTATTTGATTTTGTCTAAGGTAGTGATATTCACCGATCATTCTGCTCTTAAATATTTGATACAAAAATCGGATGCTAAGCCTAGATTGATTCGATAGATATTGCTACTCCAGGAGTTTGATATTGAGATAAGGGATAAGAAAGGGGCTCAGAATCTAGCAGCTAATCACTTGAGTAGGTTAGAGAACCCCTTTCTTTATTCCTTGAGTGAGAGAGATATTGAGGATACTTTTCCTGATGAGAGACTTTTACGTATCGTTGATGAGGTGCCTTGGTTCTCTGACATCGCCAACTATCTTATTGGGGGTGTTGTTCCTTCTGATTATACACCTCATCAACGGAGGAAATTTTTTGCTGATCTTAAGTATTATTTCTGGGAGGAACCATATCTGTTTCGTAGTTGTGCTGATCAGGTTGTTAGAAGATGTGTTCCCCTTTGCGAGGGAGCTGAAATTCTTAAACATTGTCACTCTGGACCGACCGGGGAACACTATTCTTTCAACAGGACAACCTGTAAGGTCTTGGAATGTGATTTCTTCTGGCCCACTTTGTTTAAAGATGCTCTAACTTTTGTGCAGGAATGTGACAGATGTCAACGCACCGGGGCGGTTACCAAGAGGGATGAGATGCCCCAGAATTTTATATTGGCGTGTGAGGTATTTGATGTTTGGGGCATTGACTTCATGGGACCGTTTCCAGGTTCTAAAGGTAATAAATTCATTCCTTTCGCTGTGTATTATGTTTCTAAGTGGGTTGAGGCTGAAGCTCTGTCCACGAATGATGCTAGAGTTGTGATTCGTTTTCTGAAGAAATTGTTTTCTAGATTTGGAGTGCCACGAGTCTTGATAAGTGACAGGGGTATCCACTTTAGGAATGATCCCATGACGCGCCTTTTGGCAACATACGAGGTCAATCATAAAGGGGGCATCCCATATCACCCTCAAACTAGTGGCAAAGTTGAGAATTCGAATAGGGACATTAAGACCATCCTTGAGAAGACCGTTGAGACCCATAGGAAGGATTGGTCCGATAAGTTAGATGATGCGTTGTGGGCATTGCGTACAACGTATAAGACACTTATTGGCACGACACCTTTTCACTTAGTTTATGGAAAGGCTTGCTGTAACACCCCCAAATTTTCCACCAGAAAAAACATTTAAATAAACCATTATTTATTAACTTTACTTGAAACATCAGAATTGTGCAGCGGAAAATCAATAGGAAAATAGGGGTGCTACCGCCACACTCGGTTCTAACCTAACCGAGTGCACAACCTAAAACAATCTAACTCAAAATAATTAAACTTCTAAAACAAATGTTCACTAATTTAAGATGCAAAAAAATGTAATTACAATTATTTACTAATTTGATGTTCTAGCGGAAGCTCTCTCGAAATCAACTTCAACCGGATCAACTCAACACATGTACAAAATCAAGTACAGAAAGAAAAATAAAAGAAACAAACATTAGCAACAATGCTAAGTAAGTTCCACCTAACCCCACAAAAATAAATAAATAATATTTATATTTGAAAAACATTTCGTAAAATATATTTTTAAAATAATTTATAAATCATAAGTAAAACAACATTTATAAAATATTCTTATAGCACAAATAATATGCAAAATATCAATATTTCAAATATAAGAACATATTTCAAACCATAATAATACCAAAATATCAATATACATAAACATCACAATAATTTCAAAGCATACATCAAAAATCAAATATTCATCTCAAAATACATATAAATAATTATAAACAATATTCAACATAATTAAACCAAATCAAATCCAAAAGTATTTATACTCTAAAAACTAACAAATAATTTAATAACTCAATCCAACTCAAATTCAATCCAAATATAATCCAATCCAATAATCCAACAATTCCAATCAACTCAATAATTCAATTCCACCACAAATCCAATCAAATAATATTCACCTCAAGTCCAAATGAAGCCAATCAAATAATCTCAATCACCTCAAAGCCTCAAAACCAATCTTATCAAAGTCCAGTGGAAGCCGAACTCCTACCTTAAATGTGCACACCCCCTAAAAGGGATTCCAAACCCTCCGGGTAGTAAGAAGCCCGAGTAGTCGGGATTTTTCTACCAACTACACTACAATTAAGCTGGGATACTCCGCTTTTGGGAAGTACCCCTGATGGATTTAGACTTATAGCCATTACCACTCACCAAATATTCCACATTTATCCGGATGTGGCAAACCGACACCACGGATTTCTCCGGGTGCTCACAAAATCATAATTCAATCTCAATCAAAATGGATATGAAATCCAAACTCCACAAAATCATCCACAATGTAAAATATAAACTCCAACAAACTACACTCGAATTCACCATACAATAAAATTTCACAAAAGAGCCAAATGCTTCATAAATATAATCCCAATGACAATTCATAAGATATCTCAAATGCTCAAAAATATCATCTAATATTCAATACTCAAATCTCAAATATAATTCTCGATAACAATCCATAAGAAATTCCAAATACTCAATTGTAAATACTAGAAATCTCATAAAGTACTCAAATAATTTCAAAAATGATTTACGAGGAAAAGTATAATTTTGGTTGATGTGAAACTTACCTCAAATCACGATAATTTCTCGCCAAAGTTTATACCTCTTCTCAAAATTCACCTTTTAAGAATATTAAAATTGTACTATTAGTAATTTACGTACTACGTACTTCTTAATAGATTAATTAGTCCAATTTATTTATCATTTCCATACTAGTAATATATTTTCATTATTACTCTTGTTAATTTTTGATCGGCCAAGGTAGAAAAAAAATAAGACCAGCCCATTTAAATTAACTTCGCCCATTCATATTGTAGTAAACCCAGTCCAGTTTAATTTTAAAAACAAGAACATAACGAGGAAAACGGCGTACTGTATATCTTCTTCAAAGCCGGCGACTCGGCGAGCGTTGGGTCCCTTCGGCGATGGTGGTTCGTCCAACAACTTCTTCACTCCGGCGGAGGCAGCGACATGGTCCTCCTTTCCGGGCAACTCTGCAACGGCACTCCGGCATGAAACATGGGTACGTACTGCGATTCTGTGAACTTGTCCGGTCATCCCAGCGAACCAGCCGAAGGTGTTCAAATCTCACAGCGGCAGCCTTCTCAGGTGCTTCTCCTCCTATCAGGTGCAACTACTTATATACATAATAGAATGTCCTAGGTTCATGGAATCATGGATACGATCTTCCTTCTTAACCCAACCGGAGACGTATTTCAAGTATATAATTCACTCGAAGGTTCTAGGCTGACGTTTCGTATCTTTCTCATTTATTATCAGTGACCATACGAAGTATGTATTTCCATATATATATGTATTGCCATATACGGAGTACATCGAAGTAAAGGATCGGACGGAGTGTCGATTTGTATGCATGCGAGCAGTGGGTTATTTTATGTGCAATATTATTTGTACGTAGTATATATGATTATAACTGCTACAGTATGTGCATGTTCTATAATGGTTTATTATCACCTGGTTGATAAATCTCAATGTAAACGATACTTTTGTTTAAGTTTAATTTTTATTAATGTTTTATAGAAATGTCATTTTTATTATTTAAGTGAAAATTTCTATTTGATCAATATATTTATGTATTTTATAAAAAAAATTGGAGTGTCACACTTGCCACTTCCAATTGAGATTGAGCATAAGGTCTACTGGGCCTTGAAAACGCTGAATAAGGATCTTTCTTTGGCGGATCGTGAGTGGATTTGGAAGCTCAATGAGTTAGATGAGTGGAGGCTTATGGCCTATGAGAACTCTAAGATTAGTAAGGAGCATACCAAAGTCTATCATGATCGGCATATCAAACAGGGAAAAGAGTCTTGTAAGGGGGATCAAGTTCGGCTGTTCAATCCCCGAATGAAAATTTTTAAAGGAAAATTGAAGTCTAGGTGGTCCGGACCTTTTGTAGTGAGCGAAGTTTTTCCATTCGGAACTGTTGAAATTGACCATCTTGAGAAGGGTCGTTTTAAAGTTAACGGCCATCACCTGAAGAAATACTACGGAGGACGGATAGAACGCAAGCGTGAGGTGACCTTTGTCACGAATTTTGAGAGATGAGTGCGTAGTTGCGTCGGGCAAAGGATGTTAAAAACAGCGCTTCTCGGGAGGCAACCCGATCTTAATTTTTGCTTCAGTTTAGTTTATTTTTTACCGGTTTTCAAAAAAAAACCCCACAAAAAAGCGTTTTTGACCGGGCACGGTCGTGTCTGGGCAGGCACGATCGTGCCTACATTAAAGGATAATGCATGAGCTCACTGCCAGCCAGGCACGATCGTGTCTGGATGGGGGCATGATCGTGCCCTGGACGCGAAAGGGGCATGCCTACTGCCAGCCAGGCACGATCGTGTCTAGGCCGGGCACGATCGTGTCTGGGCGAATTTCCCAGAATACCCCCGCGTCAATTAAACCCAAACACATCCCTTCTCTCCTTTCTTTCCCTTACGCGACATAAAACCCAGAGCTTCATTTTTTCTGTGACCCACAACCGACGAAGCCAACGTCGACGACAAAGCCACCTCCGACCACCGACTCGACTCTGACGACCACCGCACCCCCCCTTCTCTCTCCTCTACTCACTCAAGGTAATCTCCTTCTCCTTTCTTCTTTTCTCCATTAATAGAGGTTTTTAGCTTTGTGAAATCCGAAAATTGCATGTGCTTGAATGATATGGATTTTGATTTCTTTGTTCAAATTGAGGCTTGAATTGTTGCTATTGATGTTCTATGTTGATGATTTTGCCTCTTTTGCTTCAAATCCCTAATTTTTGAGTTAATTTGGCCAATTTAGGGTTACATTTGTTGAAAGTGAAAAATTTGGGGATTTTGCGCTTTTTGCTCGAATTAAGGAATGAATTGTTGCTTGTGATGTTCAATAATTGTTGTTGAGTCCTTTTGTGCATAAATCCCCAATGTTTAGGCCAAACTTTGTCAAATTTGAGAATTGGGAGTTCTTTCCCTAATTTTGATTTTCTTTCTAATTCATTTGGGAAGCACTTCCTTCTAAAAACTTGTGATGATAACCGATGCTTGCTTGTGACCTTGTTTACACCGTGTGTCGTTGAAAATTTGAATTTTATTCAAAGAACCTTTCTTTGATAAAAGTTCAAAATTTTCAACTATTCTGGTTAAACTTGGGGTTGTTTCAGTAACAATGATGATCTTGGTTGATTAATTGCTGACGGGGCCATTACTGTGATTTGTGAATCTATTCTAACACTTGGACGCCTCGTTGGAATTCTTGTTTTTGACTTGTTTTGAGAGATGCCAAGACAAAAGCATACTAGAGGAGCGGGTGCCAGTTCTAGCAGGGCCAATGCTGCCCGGTACCAACCGACGTTTCCACTACTCCGAGATGAGATGAAGTACGTTGAGCTGCTACCTAAGAGCATGTGCACTGTGTATTACCCTGACGAGGCCTCACTCACTGCAGCAGGAGTGAGAGATGAGGTGATGCACCTCCTGGGATGGGGGTGGTGGAGCCATCTGTTCTATGGGATTAGAGACCCCACCTATAGAGAGATTACATGTAAGGTTTTGGCCACATTTCGGATGACCAAGGAGATCGCTCTCGAGGACAACCATAGGCCCATCATCAAATTCCGGGCATTCGAGGAGGAGCATGCCATTTCCATGGCAGAGATGCATGATCATTT